TGCTGGCTGAAGTTTTACAAAAGAACAACATCATCTGCCGATATGGGGTTCCAAACGAGATCATCTCCGGATAATGGCTCACATTTCAAGAAAGGAGTGCTGGATCTACTTGAGAAATATAAATGTGGCTTTCCACAAGTCGTCAATATACAGACCACAGACCAACAGAGCTATTGAGGCCGGCGAACAAAATATCAGAATATCTTGCGGAAGATGATGGAAACTTCAGGGATTTGTCGGATAAACTATCGTTTGCACTTTGGGGCTACCGGACATCAATTCGAACATCCACAAGGGCAACCCCATATTCTCTCGTCTATGGGATGGAAGTCGTTCTTCCAATAGAGATGAAGTACCGTCACTACGAGTTATGGCTGAGTGTCAGATAGCAGAGGCGGATTAGCAACAGCGCATGTTTGAGGAGTTGATGTTGTTTGATAAGAGAATGCTAAAGGGCATTGTATCATGTCAGGGCCTACACGCAGTGCAGAATTGCTAGGGCTTTTAACAAGAAGGTCAAGTCCAGGAATCTCAAAGAAAGAGACATGGTGCTCAAGGACAACCGAGCTCTTATCCATGACCTTAGAGGCAAGTTTAGATCCAATTGGACTGGTCCTTCTATCATCAAATCTATCTAGTCAGGAGGGGCAATTATTCTCATGGACCTAGATGGTTTGGAGTTTTCACAGCCGATCAATATGGACAAGTTGAAGAAATATTACCTTTGAGAGGCTCGCTAGGCCGAAAACCCGGAAGGGCGACCTAGGCAAAAGTTAGAGCATGAAAATTTAGAAATAAAAAATTTAAAAAAAAACTGAGTTTGCAAGGTCGAAAACCCGGAAGGGTGCCTTTGGCAAAAGTTAGAGCATAAAAAGATAGAGTTAATACTCGAGCGAACCAAAACCGAACTGCATAAGGCCTGATTCCCATTTTTGGGTACGTAGGCAACTTCATCCTGAAGTTCGGCCGTAATCATCTTTGACTCAACTATCCTATACGTTCATTTTGATCAGGCCATCTTTCTCTATTATTAGTTAGCTCGGTTATGTGATCTTCATTCTGGCAGAAAGGCCAGTTTCAAGATAGAGCAGTGTTGTCGAACGCAGTTATGGGCAGTTGCGATCTCTTGATTCGAGGCTGTGCATCCTAAGGGTTGATTCCATACGTGTCAGGCAGTGATCACACGAGAAAATGGTTTTGAAAGGTTTTAATAAGTGGATTTTGCTTAAAATTTTACCTTTTACAACCTAGACCATTTTGGGACCAAAAGAAAAAAATTTAGTGCTCACAACTTTAATTCCATTGATTTCAACACAAAGTATATTCTCCAACTCTTTGATTGCAATCAAAGTTGCTTTTACATCGCAAAACTTGAAAAGAAATGTAAAAGCAATAAACTAGGGGCATAGGTGAGTCAGGTGTTCATGCGTCCTCTGCTCGTGCTGGCGAAAGCCTCTGCAGCAAAAGTTGGCCCAACTTGTGCCTCGTCCTCGAGCCAAGTCAAGCACTCGCCAGAAAGGGCATAACTAAAGCTAGGGACAGGGACCAGAAGCTCTCTCGTCCTCCAAGCAGTGAGGTATCGAGTCAAGTGTGAACCACGAATAGGAAATGAAACGGGGTATTCTACCTCCTCTTCTGGTCTGGTCGGGTCTGATCATGTCCAAAATGGCATCTGAACCAAAAAAGGAAGTAGAACACGTAGTGCGTGAGGCCAATCAACTGTATACCCGGTTGTCGAGTCATACTACAGCTCATCTCTGTCAGGTTAAGCTAGGGGCAATGCCTGGCTATGTTAGCTGCGGATCGACCGCACATCCAATTGCACCACCATCTCTCTATGGGAAAGTCCACTAGTCGCTGGCGGAAGAAGTAAGCACGGGTTGAATACTCGGGGCAAGGGTCCACCACTTTTAGCTTATCCATGAGCCATACCTGGGAAGGGACGAAAAATAAGAGAGATTAAAGAATATAGATATGTACATGGAAAGAACAGGAAAGAAAAAGGTTTTGAGAGAAAATAGAGCGTAAGTGCCGAGTGATGTAAGAATCACATAGTGGACTCCCCGCAAACCCTGTGGTCTTTTGCCAATGAAAAGCATCTAACCCATCAGGGTCTTAGCCAGTGCTAAAGCAATGCAACTCTTACCCTCTTTCAAGCAATGGGCTACTTAGATTAGCTTAATGTTGGCTTTGTTGTAACTAGGAGCAAGAAGGAAATGCGTGAGTACACATAAACAAACGGTATGTTGCCGAAAGCCTTGCTGAAGAAGGTCACCTCTTTCTCCAACATCAGAAAACCGATGAATCAAGCTAGGTACATCTAGCTCTCCGTCATGAGCCAAAGATTGATCTTCGTGCAAAGTAAGCCCACATATCCATCCCAAAGCCAGGGCATGGTCAAAACGGGGCTGAGGCATGATTTCCTCGTCACGTTGGGATTCTAGCAATGCTTGAAACTCTTCAAGAGTTGGACACATTTCCTGTGCTCCAAAGCAAAATACATGTGGAATTAGGTCCCAATGTCAGGCCGCGACGTGGAGGAATGGAAAACAAAGTGGAGTACATCTCAACAGAAAAAGCGTATTTATGCCAAAACCTCAAAAATTTACCTTTTTCGTGCCGTCTAAAGTGGCTAAAATGAGGTTCTAGTGAAGAAATGGAGAAGGAGGACCTTTTGTAGAAGATAAGACTGTGAGTGGAGGCCAGCTATCAGTTAACTGGTGGATCACCACAAGTGGCCGGCCGCCGACTTTTTGTGGTCGGCAGTCCACTTTTGTGGCCTGGCAATTTGGCATTTTGGTTTTGTCTTGGTCTTTGTGTTTTGGGTCTTGTTTTGAGTCTTTTGTTTTTAGCAGGTGTACATAGTCATGTTTAAGTTGTTTTTACTTTATTTTCCATTTATCGAGTTGTATTTTGTATATTAGTCGTTGGTCGGTTCATTATCCAATTAAGAATATCATTCCAATACAAGCATTCTCAGTTTCAAATCCAATTTCATTTTCATTCTATGCAAATGTGATGCTCATGATGCAAAAACAATAACTCTTTTCATAAAACTACGAGGTTTTACTTTGATCATAGTTTTTTACAAAAGAGAGTACAAGTTTTCAAAAGCGAAAGTAAGCCTATCTGAAGCTATATATGTGCTAAGCTACCAAAATAAAATAAAAAATAAAAACTAAGTAAAAAGTATAAAAATCTGTGCCAATCGTATCAAGCTCAAGAGGCCTTCTTCGTCATATTTCTTGGAGGGGACTTAGGGGCACTATCTCCATCAGTGCCGCTATCAGAATCGGACTCCAAGCCAGAGCCAGTATCATCATTTCTGCTCTCTAAATCAAAACCAGCCTCAGCGTCCTCCTTGCTCTCTGATCCCTAGGGATGGCAATATGAACCCGGCCCGACGGGGACCCGGACCGCCCCGTCCCGATAAATAGGGTTTTTCAAAAATTATTCCCCATAGGGCCGGGGCTGGTATTGAAAAATACATCCCCGATGATTTTTGGGCCAGGGACGGTGATAGATTCTCCGACCCTGGCCCTAACCCCGGCCCGGCCCGGCCCCGAAATTTCCCCAAGAAATCCCTGCCTGTGTGTTTAGTTGTATTATATATATATATATACCTCGCTCATTCTTTGACTCTCTCAACTCTTTCACTGACTCACTCTCTCAACTCTCAACTCTCATTCTCTCTCTAACTCTCTCAACTCTCTTGTCTCTCTCACTCTCTCATTCTTCTCTCTCTCACTCTCACCGACACGACGACACAGTCACCGACTCGTCTCTCTCTCACTCTCAATCACTGACACGGCAACACCACCACCACTCTCTCTCTCTCACACCTCGTTTGCTCTCTCATCTCTCCTCTTCAGCCGCTGATCGCACACCAGTCGTCGACACCACCACCACCGCTGGTCTAGACTTCGATCTACAGATGACGACATCGACTTAGGACAAAAACCTCAGATCTCATTTTCTCCATCGTCGATCTCAAGTCTCTCCATTGCCGATCTCATTTTCTAGATTAGTGTTGCTTGAATCTGTTTAGTGGATGATGATGATTCTAGATCTGTCTTGTTTGAATCTGTTTAATGGATGATGATGATTATAAATCTGTGTTGTTGAATCTGTTTAGTTGATGATGATGAATGGTTGTATTTTTTTATTTATATTTTTTTTTAAGCCGGGGAATGTTCGGGGTCGGGGAAACCCGATCCCCGTTAGGGGACGGGGATGGAGGCTGTGATACGTTCCCCATCGAGGATCGAGGCCGGGGTCGGGGAAAATTTGACCATCGGGGATCGGGGACAGGGAGGGTGATCCCCGGCCCCGCCTCGCCCCGTTGCCATTCCTACTGATCCCGAGCCAGCATCATCATCCCCGCTCTCAAACTCAGAGCGTTGACTCACTGCCTCCTCAGAATCACTAGTCTCAGTATCATCCTTACTCAAAACCGACTCTAAGCCACTCCGACTCTGAGCACCTCTGCGTCTACCTCGGCCTCGATGCTCGTCTCGGCCGTGCGTTGGAGCCTGTCTACCTCTCCTCTCTGCCGCTGGAGGAGGTGTCGCTGCTGCTGCTAGTGCCCTCGGCGCAGGTGAAACCTGAAAAACAAGCATCAACATATCAGATACAGTGTATGTATTGTTACAGAATGTAGTATGCAGTGTGAGTATGGTACAGAAGATAGATGTAACATGGGTGCAGTGTGTCAGTGCAATGTGAAGCAGTATCAAAATGTAAGTCAGTATGCATTGTATCACGGTGAGTGTCGCGCAGTATGAGTATCGTGTATCAGTGGAAATATGGCATATCAGTACAGCGTGGGAAGCAATGCAATGCATGAGGGGAATGGAAGTATACCTAGATACCGTGCAAAGCGAGCAGCATCTCCTTTCTTTGCACCATGTGAACTAGGGAGGCAACCAGCTGAAGAAAGCCCTCCGTATACTCTGTGGGTGCCTGCAAGTGAAGTTGAATAATCAATATCTGAAAAGGTTCTTTTGACTTTGAAGCAGACTTTTCATCCTGATTTATCATAACCTTTCATGGCTTAGCCTCTTTGCTTTCTTCTTCATAGACAAAATTTGTCCATAGAGCTTCCGTCTCGCTCAGCCGCCCGCATTACAACAAAAAAGGGTTTTTACGGCACGCAATGCATGCCGTAAAAACCCTTTTACGACGTGCAGCGCGCGTCATATTATGACCAGTCATGGAAAGTCATTCACTTTCAACGACATGCTTTGTACGCCATTAAAAACTATTTAACAACAGATTTTGTGTATCGTTATTATTTTTTCTACAACATGCTATAATACGCCATTAAAAACTATTTAACTACAGATTTTGTGCGTCGTTATTATTTTTTCTATAACTACCTTTGCACGCCATTAATTGGTAAGACAAATAACGATGCTGATTGCACGTCGTAAAATATGTAAAACAACGACTTATTATGCCTACCGTAGAATGTACAATTTTTTTTTTTTTTAAAAAAAAAAAATCAACAAATTCTATTTAATTAGTTTTGTACAATCTAACAAATATTACAAACATTACAAAACATTAATCAACCACCAAAATATTATTTCAAATATCAAAAAAACTATACATAAATTTCAAACATCCAAAAAATATCTGTGCATTCCAAACCATCCAAAAACTATATTTCTAAACATTAAAAATTATCCTCAACTTCAAAACCGTCCAAAAAAAATATTATTAAAAGGGCATACAAAAGTATGATCAAAATATTTTTAAAGTTTTCCTGGCCAAATTCAAAGAATACAGTACATTTATTTTACAATGAAGCACCTGAGAGGTGGTCACAGGCCCAAGTTGCATGAACTTAGATTGATAGACCACCCATTATCCAACCAGTTAAGCTTTTACCAAGGACTTCTCTTAGTATCAAGGTTTTTGTTCTCTTGGGAGCTTGACCACCAACTTCACCAGATAAGACCTAACCATGCCACAGTAAACAGGGGTACAGTGCAGGGATGCATTCTCCTTAAAAAATATGAGCATGTTGAAAACTGAAGTTACCCACAAAATCTTGGCCTTCTGATTTGATTCCCTTTTCCAGAAACCGCACAAACTGAATGGTCAAGTACCTGTTTATTTGGGGAGGGGGGAACAAAAATAAAAAATATAAAATAATAAAATAATAAACAAATCAAGTACTATTTGAGACCTAATGCTTCATGTTTCAAGACAACAATCAAGAAAAGTTTAAAGCCAGTTTTTACCTTGGCAAGCCAGTGATACGTGAATCTTTAATGTAAATCGCACTATGGCCCAAAGAAGGAGAAGCCTTACATCAGTTCATCAATAGCACTTACATGCTTAAGCCCCTCATGTAAATGGTTCA